AAGACAGTTAGTTGTAATACAGAAAAAATTGCAAATTTTCACTATCACTGGGATTTGAACTCTAGACCTGCCATTTGGGGGTTAATTCAAATATTCAAATCATTATATGAGTGCTGTTTAGTAAAAAAAAGAGAAATTTAAAATTAGATCTGATTAATAATTTTGAGAAAATCATGTTTTTGTATTTTGGTCACAATATTGATAAACACAATCCAAACTAAATTGGGTTAAATAAGGAAACAAAATTCCAATCATGCATATCATTTTAGCCAATTATAAAATTTAAAAAAAAATCAAAATTTGCGAAAAATAAGTGAAGTTAAATTGAAATTTATATTCAAAGCTCAAATTAATCTCATTAAATAATATTATAGAGTAATAAAAATTATCATTATTAGCTTGGATCATATATTGACTAATTTACTAATGATTATCTATTATTCTTAAAAAATAATAACAAAATATACATTTGTTTCTATATTCGAATAACTATAATAATATAAAAAAAGTAGTTAAACTGTAATATACGTAGATCTTATTAAAACTCTTTAAAGAGTTTATTCAATAAATGATAAAACAACACTTTGTCTTCTTATTTTTGCTAAATCGTTACCTTTATTACTTCAGTTTACCTTGTTTTTTTTTGTTGTCCAAACGTAAGATTTCATCAATTTAGCTATTTACTAACTTTGCCAAATAAATTAAATATGAGATCAAGTTTACTGAGAACACTTGGTCCTAAAAAAAATATTGTAAAACGTATAAAAAAATTTTTTTATCAATTGGATTATTCGTGTAACATGGACGGTCCTACCTTGAGACATTGTTTTATTTTATATAAACTTTTCTAGTACATCATTCTGTTAACACGCAATTATTTTTAGTTTCTTTATTGTGAGGTGGTATTAATCATCACTTGGTTTTTATTTTCTCTAAACTATTTCCTAAACTAGAGATAGGAAAAAGCCAGGCATGTCATGTTTTCTTACCCAAATCAGCCTAATAAGACAAAAAGTAAAAAATGCAAAAAATACAAGAAACTGATGACTAAACCTATCTTAGGACATTAATAAAAAATCTCAGAAAAGTAATTTTACTTATAACGTTTGCTCTAATCCTAACTCTAAACTAATACTAATATTACTTTAATTAAATATTTAAAATTAACGCCAATGGCATTCTGCAGCATGTGAGCCAAGGGTTTTATAAAAAAAATATATATATATTTAAAATTATATGACTACATCAGGCTTCCAAATAAGTAATCTTTTTACTTGATAAAAAGTTTTGACCTTTCTCTATAGCTAGTTAGTGGGCCAAGTGACATATTGACAGTGGGTAAAATTGCTAACTAAAACCAATCGCATGAAAAATTAAAATTAATCCAATGCATTTATTTATTTTAAGTCTATTATCGAATTCTTCACTATCTTCAATGCTTAAGTTATATATAACAATTTTATAAACTTTCTTTTGAATTAGATTTCATCGGCTTTGGTATTTGTGGTTGATAACAATATTTATCTCTTTTAGAAGGATCCTGAACATGTTTACAAATTTGCTCATAAAGGTACTACTGTTGTTTTGTGCTCAACTCATGAGCTATAATTTCTTTAGGAAAACTTGAAATATTTGACTCCTCTGTAGACTTACTTTTTTTTATAATATTTATTACTATTTTATTCCCATTGATCTCAGGCTGTAATTCTACTATCCTAATTCTATCTTTTGAAAATGAAAAATGATGCTGCTTAGTAATTTGTTTTATATTATCATAGAATTGATTCAAAAACTCTGTCCATTTATAAAAATAGACATCTCATTCTCCATTGCTATCAAAAATAGTTTGTGCTATATTATAGCCTCTAATAGTTGATGCTTCAACAACCTTAACTAAGTCCATTAAACTATCTACTTCAGAATCACGTAGCTTGAGTTTAAAAAGTCCAAAAAAACTATCAGAACTGAATTTTGTGTGTCCTGCAATCATGAAACAATAAGTGATCGAATTATGTAGACCATTTGCAACTCGCCACATAAGGTATTTAATCATTACATTATTTTTATTTTGGCCTGTACAATTATCAGCATGAATAACAAGTTTCTTTTCTCCAAGACCATGATGAGCAAAGTAGTGATGAATTAAGGAAATAACAGTATCAGCACCTTTTTCTACATTTTCACTTTCTTTAATTAAATAGGTTTTCTAAAATAATAATAAAGTATTATTAGTTAGTAATAGATTTGCAAAATTTAACTATTTATGTATTAAATGAAAATACCTGCACTGAAATCGCATCTTCACATATTCCAAAAACTGAGATTTTATATAAAGATTTAAAATATATAGATCTCTGAAATTGAAATTATTATTAGTAACGAATCAATTAAAATATTTTTTTAGTATATCAGTAAAGTATAAATAAGGCTTTAATAAATATATAGGCTAAGTGTTAGAAAAAGGACCGAAAATGACAATTTTTTCAAATGAGGTTTTTTTACATAAATCAATTTAGAATTAAATTAGAATTATTTTTCACATAGATATAATAGTAGTTATATTAATAAAATTTTGCAATATAGTTCTTTAAAATTTGCATTTTCTTATGACTTATTATAAGATTTATAATATAAAAATTGATTTTCTGAAGATCTTTTTTTTTTGTCATTTTCAGCCTTTTTTCCAGTACCTAGCCCATATCTTATAAAGCTAAAAATATCATCAGATGTTATGGGCAACTTAAATTATTGGTGCCTGAACAGGGTTTATATACTGTATGAGTACAGTATAACTAAAAGAAAACTTATACATCTAAATATAGAACTTTTTACACAATAGAATGCGAGCTTTCAAAAATTATTAATTTAAATATATAATTGAAACAACTAGAATGATCAGTTGTTCTTTTAATTATACATTATTAGCTCTGGATCAAATTTTTCCAGGTTGTATAAAAGCCTATATTCCTTTGTTTAAAAAATTCTATATTTAAATGTACAGGTTTTCTTTTAGTGATACTCATATAATATATTTTCTGAAACTAAATTATATATTGATTAAGGGTGTTATCAAGTATTACTATCAATACAATTAGCTAGTGATCAATATGATATTTAATCATTATAATCGATTAAATAATAATTGTTGTAAATAGTGATGTGACTGAACGATTCTATAAATTTGAATCAATTAGCATAGCTAAAAAAATATATATAACTACTAGCATGAGCTATTTTAACAAATAATTTTTGAAGAGTGTGGCGACCTAGTGAAGTGGTTAGGTTGTCAACCCTCCAAGTGGTAGGTTAGGTGTTCAAATCCCATCGACAGTGAAAATTTGAATAATCACCTATGTAATATTCATATTATGACAACTGTTACTAATGATTGGATTAGATACCTGTAATAGCGGTCGCACCAGCATGACTGGCAGGTCATGGGGCATTCGTGTAATAGGTTACATGACATTGTCCTTTGGGACAAGGTTGTAGTTACACAAAGGAATGCAAACCAGCAATAGGCGGTGCAAACACTAGATAAGTTTTTGTGGCTGTATAAATCTGTTGAAATTGGGTAACAAGAAGTCCATTTGG